TCCTGCTGATGTCCATCAACAGATGTAAAGATTTAAATAAAGTGGCAGCTGTGAGCTAGATTTTGTGAAGCAATGAAAGTGCCATATGTGTCTTCAAATGTGAATACTTGGTATGTGTTTTATTTCCTTTATAGTTGCATTTGGATGTAAGAATAAACTTTGCTTTCAGTAGAGTCCCACAGGCATGATTATTACAGGATTTACTGTCTCATATGAATCACTGAAACAGCACTTAAGAAAGAAGCTTGAAATTAAGATTGTACTATAAATAATAAAAATCTTGGATATTCACACATGAATGAGGATTTTGTGAAGTTGTGTGTTTTGTTGTTTAGGTTTTTTGGGTTTGGTTTGGTTTTTTGTTTGTTTGCTTGTTTTGTTTTGTTTCTTTGTTAACCTCACAAAACATAAAAAATCAATTGACATTAAATCAGGAAACAAAACTCTCTGGAATTAGAATAAAGGAATCAAATAATTATTTTTCATTATATGAAGACAGACTGATCAATTGAATTTGGTCTGACTTTCAGCATGGATTTGACTGAAATTTTTAGTTTAAAACTGGACCTAAGATTTGCTTGATATGAAATCTGATTTGTGGGTAGTGTGCAAGTCATAGAACAGTAAATTTTTGCAGTGAAGTTTAAAAAATAAACTATAAATGCAATCCATGGAAAACTAGCCACTAGAGGGCAGGATGGGAGGATAACCCCACAATATCCAAAATAAGGGTTTAAATATCTGAACACTGAATTTCAGAATGAACATAAACTTCAGATTGGATACTGATATTAATTGGAAAATTCTTTCATGAACTGAACTACAGACACAGTACATGATCCCATATCCCCAAATCCTGTCATGAACTACATGAAAAATAACATCAACTAGATTTGTCCTTCAGTTAAGAAATATTGATTAATTGCTGAAATCACCATTTATACTCAAGTTCAGATGCAGCTCCAACACCAAGACAGTTTCACTACTTAGATGCCTTTTATGCTATAAGAGATTTAAGCAGCATTAGGAAGAGTTTATTAATTCTTAATTTTTACCTCTGACAGTGGGATCATATGTCAAGTAAACTACTACAGAATATGAATCATACTGACAGAATATGGCAACTCACTTATTTCCATTTCTGCTTATGAGTGATATTAGCCATTCCTTAGCATATCATTTATTTATGCTGAGATGTGCTGACATGATTGGAAGATCTGTGCTGTTTTTGTGGGCCAACTATTCCCTATGTTGAAGATTACTTTCAGAAATTCTTTTTTGCTTTGTTTTTATTCTTGAAACCTGTCACTTCAGCTATTTGGTGTAAGGAAGCACAGAGGGACATAACTGCTTGTTTTTTTTAAGTATTCAGCACTCTTACTTGCAATATTAATACCTGATTGCTCAATAACTGTTAACATTAGATAGTTTACGCCGAAAATAACTGTATTCTGTTACCTGACAGTAATGAATTCTTATATTTCCCTTATTTTTCAGATGATGCACAACTCTATTGGTGGCAACAAATCCCTACTTGGTTAGATACAAAATGGAAAACCCAAATGAACATTAAAAAAGGAGCTTACCTGACCGTCCATCCCGTTGAAAATCCACATGGTACCATTCACCATCGTTCACCTTCTTCTGCAAGGCTTTTATTTTTATAGTACCTGACCCCATGTCTAACAGCAGGTAAAGGTGGCCATCAAGCATCTCAATGGCAAAAAAGTCCACCTTCACCATTTGTGGGTGTTTGGCATCTTTTTGGTGCCTTGGTTTTCCATGACTGAAAAGAATCAGGCCATTTGGCTCAGTGGTGCGAAAGTCAAATGATATTGAACCTGTTTTCTTGGCATTCCACTTTGGCAAAGAGATGAAAGACTCCGGTGTTTCAAATGTGATTGGATCTAAGGTTGCAACATTTTCACATTTAAATGCTACAACCCCATGAATCTTCATTTTAGGATCTCCTTGCTTGGCAAGTCGAGACAACTCCAACCTGACATCGTTATTTTTATATACAACCTGCAAGCAAAGTAGAGAAGTTACTAAGGGCAACTTAACCAGTTAACCAAATAGATATTATCTTGAATAGGCATATTATTTAAAAGATAACAATGATGACCTATGAATACGATCATTTACACACACAGAAAATTAAACAACTATTTTCATTGGCTAAAAATTTAATAATTTTCATTAAACCAAAGTGGCTCTAAAAATATCCCTAGAGTTAATTTAAATGTCTGCTTCTAAACTATTTGTCACTGTCTTAACTCTTCTGTTAATGTACAGAAAATATACCAAGGTCTGATACTTCATAATTTAACATCATGAATTAAAAATTTTAAATCTTGTCTTTGGGACAGAGGAGCAGTAGCATCCAGGGTATTCTGGAACCTGTAAAATAGGGAAACTAGTATAATAGAAATCAAAAAAGAAAAAACTGGGACAATCATTGAGTTAGTTCAATTGGACAAAACAAAAAACACTTAGGTATTTTCCCTGAAGATTTTTCTGATAAAAATAAAAGACTATTAGTTTTAAATCCAGCTGATCTCCACAGCAAATATTCTTGCTTCAACTCGCATATCAATTCTGTCCAGAGAAGTCTATAATGACACAACCATTTCCCAGGGTTCTAGTCTTTATTATTATATTCTGAAATTGTTGCTATTTCTGTGTCATCCACAATACAAGGGCTGCTAAAATGAAGCTACTCAATAGCAAAGGTGTGTACAAGTATTTATTAATTCTTTAAGTATTTAATAAATTATATACTCAAGTAAAAATTGTACTAAAGGGCTGAATATAATGCAAAACAGAAGCTAAAACCTTCTTCACTGTTTCTAAGGTTAATCTTACATTAGAAAGGAATTAGAAAGGAGCAAAAGCAATAGTTTAGCAGATCAAATTGCTCTGTGCTGAGACTTCATCATCTACAAATTCTATACCATTCAGGACTAATTCCTGTCTGGCCCCTAATTCAGTATTCCAAATATAGTCTGATGCTGTTCAGAGGACCAGCCACTGATTTAGACCTTGCATGCCTATTAGTGGTTAGAAAGTTAAGGAATACATAGGGTAGTGCTTCTGGATTAATTTTCTCTGAAGCCTAGTTTGGACACAGATGAAACCCACCCTGAAAACTGAAGTGATACACAGTTAATGGAAGAGAGAGGGGATGCACTGCAGAACTGTGCTACTCTTAGAAACCAAAACACAAGCATACAGACAATCTAAGATGGCATGCCCCACAAGTGATAGTTGTTACTGAAAAAGTGTTTAAAGATAACAGAATATTAAAGAGATGATTGATAGAGTGACAATATTTTACTATAAGAATTGTGTTCTTTCAAATTAGATCATTACCCACTCAGAAAATTTAATCATAAACCATAGCAGAATTATTATACTGCATTAAAAATGTGTCCTAAAAGCTAATAAATAAGCCTATTTTTCCATATTATTTTAGAGTTCAGTATAAATACCACTGTTTCCACTGGAGTTGTGTCTCCAAAGACAAAAAATAAACCTCATCGTGGGTTCCTGACAGCAGAAATGATACTCTGCCACAAAGAGCCTGATAATGCGCTGCCTTCTTTAAGACATCAGAAGTTACTAGAATTGGACTAACATATAATCTTAGAGAATAAGGATCCATATTTGTAAAATATCCATATTTATAAAATATCCATATTTATAAAATATTTCTGTAACACCTCAGAGATGACAGATTTTGCCAAGGAATTTAGAAGAGCACTGAAGAATAAGCACATGCAAGTGATCTCCTATTGGCATGACATTCTGTCTTTAGAGTGAAAAAAGCCAAAAGGCAGAAAAATGAAACAAGATGCCAGTAGCCTGGCAGGCAATATTACTTGGAGGTATCTGGACTTATGACCAGATACATTGGCCACTTTCTATGACAAGAGGGATTTGGACAGCTATCACCTCATTTGAAGTAATTACAGGGGGCAAAACTTCTAGAATAGATTGCAAAGCATTAAACAGGCTAGAGGATATGATTAAAAAAAAGAATAAATAGGCTCTCACTAGAATTAAATCATGCTGTTGACAATGAAAGTAATTAAGGCACCAAAGAACATGAAGAGAAAATATTCTTTAATTGCCTATTGAACAAAACTAGGTACTAGGACAATACAAATAAATGTACAAAGAGAATTTCTTGTTTATGGATGAATTCAAATTATCTGATATTAATGAAAACTAGTTGACTGAATAATAAAATTAGTAGTTGATAGATATGACAGAAAAACTGAGTAGATAAAAGGAGAGCTAAGCTTTCCTTGATGCCTAAAACAGCTCTATAGGCTTTGTAGTCACCTGTGAATTTAGAAACAATAACTTTTTATAAATATGGTTCAACCTGATAAGACAGAGTGCAAGCAGGAATACTGCAAATATTTTTCTATGTAACTTGCCACCAGATATTTTAAGTAGCTTAATATATAACATATGAGCAAAAAATTGCTATAGCACTTCAGTAAGAGAGGCAAATATTGGGAGTTTTAAGTTACCAATACTAAAACATTCTTGGAATCCCTAAATATTGCATTTGAAAATTTCTTACTTTCCAATTCCACAATTAAGATTTCATAGTTACTGAGATGCAAATAATCGCATCTTGTTACATTCATTTTGTGGAGCTAGAATAAAGTCTTTATGTTTTAGAGTGTTTATATTGTAAGTTTTAGGATATTTATATTCTTCTAATGTTACCAAGCCAAAAATTTGGAACAGAATTATCCTGGATAACTAGTATTAAACCAGGAAAATAGAAACCATAACTGAAAACTGTAACTGAAATGAACTGTGAGCAATTAACTGAACACAGCTGGCTTTTGGAAGCCCATTGCCTGCTGTTATGCTGAGATTTTTACCCCTCTCCCCATCTCCCTATACATGAAAGGTGGACTCAGCCATCATTGAAGCACACCAAAAAAAGAAAAATAAGTAGTTCACAAAAAGAAGCAGTCAATAAATTTCAGGAAAAAAACTGAACAGTAATGAATAATTCTGATACTAATAGCTATTTTTTAACTCCTGGAAATATATACTTCAGAATTTATAGCTTCTAGACATAAATAATTAGTAACTTATTATTTTTCAAAGATTCTGCCCTTTAAACCTTTTTTTTTTTTCCCATTCTGAGTATGTAAGGACAAATATAATACGGCATATATTATCCAGTGATATTTCCACCTAAGCCACCCAACATATGGTTCTTTAATGTTAACTCCATACATTCTGCCTCCAACAGAGACATGGATCCTCAATTAGTCAAGTGAGGGTAATTTGCAATGAAGTATTTGAGTCACACATTCATCTTTACTTCCACACAACCTACCAGCCAGTGTCCTTGTTGTCCATTATGTGCTTTCCTAAAACATCTATTGGGTTTACCATGGTAATCAGTTGCTTGCTCTCACACTCACTCTCATACCTGAGCAACAGCAACATCATTTTCCAGCACACAAAAATGCCAATCCTCAGGGACAAATTGTGCTATTAAGAGCACCTTGAGTTTGTCTTCAATTCACTATACTCTTTCCTCTAAGTATTAAGTAAGGTTCAAGACATTCATCTTTAAAATATATAATTACCTCATTCTTGGAAAATGCAAAAAGTGACCTAACTCCCAAAAACATCAACAAAAAAATCAAACAATAATAACAACAAGAGAAAGTAATTAATAATGCCTTGCATAACTTGCAACCAAGCTACCCAAAAGGAGGAATTAATTTTTTTTCCAGAAGAAAGAGGACAGACCTACATATAATTTTACAGTCAAGATATAAGCTCCATTTGCTACCATCTAGGCCTACCACATGCTTCATAATTTACAATATCACAGTGATGAGTTTTAACAAGTAAGTCCACCTATTAAACAGCAAATATGATCTTAAGCTCAGGGCTCTCTTTAACACTGTCTCTGATAATCTTGGAGCACAAGCAAAATTAATTGATGCTTCCTAAAGACATATATAATGTATATAAATAATTGCAAGCCAGGGCCTTAGTGTGTAATGAACTCTACAAATGGGTTAAGAGTTCACCACAGATCTTGCCAATCATCATGGCAATCAACAACCAAAGATGTAGGAGAGAAGCTTGAAAAGAAAAACTGGAATAATATTTGCTTTTAGAGGCCAGGACCAGTAATCCAGAAATTTGGGTTTAACCTTCATCTGAATGCCTCACATAAAACTTTACTTCTCCTTGTTTCTCTGTAAAATGGATATACCAATTCCTCACAGGGCAGAAACTTGCATGTAAACTGAAGTTTGCATTACTAGCATTGGGTCTAGTGGAGCTTCATCCAAAGTAAGCAATATTTACACACACATTTCCTATAGCATGTCATTACCCTCTCATTTTCTTTATAAGAAAGATGACAGCCACTATGACAGACAGAGTATGATACTCTGACTTCCTAGTATGAAAATACAGAGTACAAAGCATACTGGTCATTCAAATAGAAATATAAAATGTACCAAATCTGATCAAAAGCTACACTCAGGAAAAGCTGGGCTTGAACAATACATGTCTCAAAGTAAACATGAAAGTGTAATATACTATGTCATTATAATACACTCGGGTAGTGTTTTAATACCACACAGAATGCCTGATGAGAGACAATTTTCATGTGTGTTGCTTCTGTAACTAAGCAACATGAACATCTTCTGAACTTATGTTTCTTAATGTTACAGGATACATTGTACATCAGACATTATTAAAACTTCTGTTCTCAGGAAACGGATATTCTTAATGCACATAAATAGATGTTGTATTTAAATTGCTTATTATCATATCCCTGCAAATTCTAGGAAGGCAGATAGATACCCCCAAAAAAGGTAAAAAAATAGCATAATTGTATGGAATGCCACTACAAAAATCAAAAGTAAATCTGAAGGTCCACTGTAAACTAACTGAAAACCATTAGTGCCGTAATCCCAAACAAAGATGTTAAAAGAATGCAAAAACATGCAACAACAAATAGC